ACCTATTCTCGATTATTGTTGTGCTACATGCCAGCATAGATGCCAGGTACAGATATGTTCTCTTGGTCTCTTGTGTTGCTGCTCCTATCTCTTGCTTGTATAACTAGCTGCCATGCTCTCACTTTTGAGTTCAGCATCAATCATACTTGTGGATACTTTATAACCGTGACGTTTTCTATAATGAAGGAATCCCAAGTCGAAAACCAAGGTGCTGATAAACTAGAATACTCCTGTAAGTTATGCATAATACTCTAACCAGGTATGTGACATCTAGATTTACGTTAGGTTCTGCCGAGATTCCTCAAAATGGTATTGTTGAATTTAATCCTGTACATAACGGATCAAATACAGATGGATTGTTTCTTCAGTGGTATACCAATCAATCAGCTTGTGGCATGAACGTTTCTGATGTGCATGTTCATTGTGAGAATGCTCAACAGGCTACTCATTGCATGAATTATTATTCAGAATCAGCTGGCACCATCAGTTGCTTAAAAACTAATCTCAATTTATGCTCAAGTTGTAGCATATCTCAAGGAACACCAGCTACACGATGTTATACTCACAGTGCTAACAGCATTTGTCCTACTATAACTCAAAATTTATCATCAAGCTTTAGTGCTTTAAATACTCAATATTCACAATCAAACATACCTTTAACCGTTGAAAGTACTGCAACGATTGATTCATCACCAGCTATTGTGACTTCAACAACTCAATATTCATCAACCTCAATGACTCATGATTCATCATCAGTTGTTGCTTCTCCTTTTGATGACTTTTCTTCTTCTTCCTTTGCTGATTTATTTTCACCCTCTCCATCTCCTACTTCCTTATATTGTCCTCCTGATCCTCTGTGGCCACTAACACCAGCTGGATGTGATGCCCCCCTCAACAGAACCTGCCATTATGGACTATTTAATGGTCCGTTTATATTATTTTATTTATTTTATGAATAATCTTTAATAGCTACTAGGCACTGTAATGAAAGTGGGAACTGGGATCCTGTTAACTGTCTTGCTGATAAAAACTTTGAGGCTATTGTATTGCTGGTAAAGTATTGTACACAATATTATTTAAACCCGTGTATTTTAATATAGGCATCATCATCTCCTTATGATGCACTTGTCTCCCTTTCAAACAATATTAGTACTATTCCTGGCATTCAAACAGTGGTACTGTTAGATATTATAGCTTCCAGTAATGCCAGAAATGCTACTACTACTGAGGAATTTGGACAAGTGAGTAAAATATGACTTTTATTTTACCACTGTATTTTCCTCTGTAGTTACTTTTGAGAACTTTTGATCAATTTTTAAAAGGAATAAACGTATCACTTTATGATGAAGAAGTTAGTATCAAAATATTTTAAAACTAAAACCTCTTAAAATAACTTTAAAATGTCTTAAAATAGATTTGCTAAAATGCTAATAATGATTTGCTATTTGCCAAGTTTATCACTCCCTGTCCAAAGCAACCAACATTGTAAAATAAACACATTTTACTAATCATTAGCAATTAGTGCTGATACTTCTTTCCTTCATTACATGTACATACTACTACCGTATAATGCAAAATTTTTAAAGGCTGTAAATTTCGTGGATTTCACAATTTTGAAGATTTGCAAAAATTACTTCTGCAAAAATTAAGTTATTTATGGTATAAGATGGCAGACGGCATAAATTTGTGAAAATTAAATCTGCAAAATAAATTTTGAGGTAAATTTGTGAAATTTACAGCCTTCATAAATTTTGCACTATACGGTATCCTTTACTGTAGTAAATAGCTACACTGAATGTTAATGATGATGACTTGTTTGAATGCATCTCAGGTAATCCCAAAACTGATGAGACAGGTTTTGTTTATCAATAACAATTATTATTTAAATTAAATAAAAGTGTTAATGTAAGCATACGCATGCATTT